AAAAAAAAACTTATCAAAAATTCCCTGAAGATGACCGTCTTCTGGAATATCGCATCGGACAGTCTAGTACAAACTGACCGACGTTTCAGAGGCGTTTACTGCCTCCATCATGAGAGCCCCTTCATGCTAGCCACCGCGAGAACCTAAAATTTCACCCCAAAAAAAAATCACCGATTTTTTGGACTGGATTCAGATTTCTCGACAAAGGATCCGGTGTAATGCTTGTGTGAACACGGCAATGGACCTTCGGGTTCCGTAAAAAGCGAGGATTGTTTTCACTATCTCAACCACTGTCAGCTTCTCAAGAAGTGATCCAAGCCTTAACAGCACTGGAGAGATGAAGTTTACGATGGCAGAGTAACATAATTTGTCTATGCAAGGCAGGGTTAAGTGTTTAAGGAGACGGGGAATTATACACGACGAGAAAGAAGGCTCAAGAAGACATGGGTTCTGGAATTACAGCCGAATTTGTGAAGGTGGGAGTACGAACTATGCGTCATACACAGAAATGCTCACTTGAGATCGCGTCTCTACTACCTGGCCTATCAGAAACACGTTCGTTGCGAAAAGTTGCCGTTATATCAAGGACAACGCTGGAGACCTGAGTCCAAGGACCCATCAACTTTTTACGACGAAACTATGCAATCTATAAACGTTACTCTTTCGCGGAGATTCAAAATTACAGTTTTTACGATCGCCCTGATGATGGAGGCGGTAAGCACCTCTGAAAAGTCGGTCAAATACTACCAAACTGCACGGTCCAACATCCCAGAAGACAGTCATTTTCATACTCGTCTCAAAAATAAAACAAAACGAAATTTAAACTCCATCATATAATTTGCAGTACTACTTTTTCACTTGTATACTGATTGTGATAAAGTCTTCTAGGACAACTAGCCCAAAATAATTCCTGATAGCGGTCACGAAAAAGGCCTCCGAAACATACTTCCTCATCGAGTTGCCACTGTTGATCGCTCGAGAGAATTTTATCAGTTTTATCCGCCGTGAAAATTTCATGTCTTATATAGAACATTTATATTTCACTCAGATACACAGCAGCGTTGGTTAACGTCTCTATTCCGAAGTTAATATCTGAATAAATTCTTTTTCACTCATTCTTGCGTTCTTGAATGCTCAAGTATAAATACTTTCGTATTAAATTTACAATATGCGAGATTTCAGGTTCTCACTGTTAACCTCAAATGTGACAACACGTTTCCTAACATTCCCTTTACGATATTTCTTTTCTAAGCAAACAGTAGCGAGTAGCCGGATTTTTAAAACCCAGACAAGTGTCACCAGGCCTCATGTGTGGGGGTGCAGTGCACTGGGGTGGGTCACGAATATAGACTGTTGTGTTTTGTTACGTTACATTCTATCGTCAACTATTTCAACATGAAACTGTTAAATGGGCCAATAATGTACTAAGCACAAGTATAATCTGAACTGCGACCGATATGCTTCACGAAACAATTTTACAATATTTTGACTAAATGCATGCATCATTAACATACTACAGATGTAATACTCTCGCAGTGTAAAGACGACGATACGGGCAATCAGTCCGTGGGTTACGTATGCAGGCACGTAATAAACATTTGAACTAAGGCGCCTTGCGTCATGCTTAAATATACGCAACATTAGACCTAATGGCAATGTCGTAAAGCAGAACAATATAAACTGAATGTAAATGTTTATGCTGACTCTGTGTCTTGGATACAATTCTGGCAAGAATTAAAAAACCGTACCTGCAGATCTGGATGAGAACTGTCCTTGTGACTTGCAGCACGTATTACTCCCGCCCTCCAGCCCCACTCGCCGATTTTTCCTAATTTCAGCTTGGTAAATCCACTAACCGAAAGAAAACGTTTACCCACTATTTCTTCTCGGTACTTGTAAGCCATTATATCCACTAGGTACACATTTTCAATTCAAAAACATCACAAATGTCAAACTTTTCTCCACCATCGACTCAAAACACCACAGCACTGTTCCACATCCGCGCATTGATACTTGCGATGAACACTTTCCATTGCTCCGCTAGAGTCCGCTATCAATCAGAGTAGAAAACTTTTATATTCCTGCGCCGCACAGAAAGTAGGTCGTCACCACGTGACCAAAACATTCAGACGTCATACCTTAGTTCAGTATGGCGTCTGTGTGATAGGTTGTGAGTACTTGGTTGTGCGATATAGTAACTATTAATTGGTATAGGTGTGTGGTAGAATATTAAATTCAGAAAATATGATATCCTCTATTGTGTCACGCTTAGTAATGTAAGTAGTTTTCATTTCCACATTTATAAAACGTTTGTACATAGATATAAAATTTCAGGCAAGGCGGTTAGGCGTCATATTTTGGCACCAGACACCGAGAGAGGTCATTTCTTATTGTTGTAGTTTTGGTAAATTTGTGGTGATGCATTATACTTTTATGGTATATTATGGCATTTGTAACCTTATTGAGAAACCCAGAATGTCGTCTTGCCCTAGGTTTGTTCCATTAATGGAAATTCGGCGACAGCTGATTCATATTGATTTTCAAGGCTGAAGTTCCATTGCCCCATACTTCGTAAACAGGCTAGTGATCGTTTGTTACCTTTTCGTTGCAACTTCTGTAAAGTGGTGCTTAACTAAAGGTTGTAGTTTAATTTTGTAAATTGTAAATTTTTGTCTTTGTGTTTCTGAATAGTTATTGAAAACCTGTATGTTCTAGAGGTACAGATGATTCATTCTTTCGGCTACTGGTTTAGTTTTTTCATTGTGAATTATATAAACCATATTTTATAGAGCTTATGTATTAGATAATTCAAATTTGTCTTCACTAAGCCTTCACTTCTTTGTATATGTATGGTAAGGTGTGCTGCCATAATGCTAGCTTAAAAGGGCATTGAAATTCGTGGGTTAAAAGCAGACATGTTAAGTTTTTTGGGGGTGAAGTGTTCTTACGTACTTTGTAACAGAATAGGACTTCCACTGAACCAGAATTCTAAAAATTGAGTTTATATTTTTTTACTTAGATAAGAAAACATTCATGTCCCAAGAAAGAAATTATTTGTTGCGTCTAATATTGAGTGCATTGAGATGTACAGTAATGTTAGCTTTGTGTACTGTCATGTGGAGATGGCTAATAATATTATTGTATCTACATGATGCTCCAATATAATGTAATACCAAGAGTCAGTCCATTTTATCAGTAAATCGGAATAGATCTGGTCACATGTTTTTGGTTGATTTGTAATGGTAGCTTAAATCATCCAGCATCCACATTCAGATTGTCTCATTAGCATTTTACTGTTCGTGATGGCTCTTAGAATTTGGTAAGTAAATCTTGGAGATGGTACTTCCGATTTTAGGATCCCTCATCGAAGGCAAAGGCTAGGAAGTATTCGCTATTCCTCATTTATTTAACAGACGTTTCAAACCTCATAGATTATACACTGTAATAAAACTGATTGGTTGGATATTTGTGAATTATCAGTTGCGAATGTTCCAGTAGATTTGGCGTTTTTTATGTACTATCCCTTTGGAGACTGAGGAAAAGACGGAAAACCTCAGTTAGGTTAACTGGCGATAGGTCCAGACTGAGGAAAAGACGGAAAACCTCAGTCAGGGTAACTGGCGATAGGTCCGAGATTCTACCTATGATAGTTGAGAGATTTCTGTGTTTAGGAAATGTTTCCTATAATTTTTGGCCGCTTTTGGAATGTTGAATTATGCCGAATAACTCTGAGGCCCTGTCCATTAGGTGGGGCTCGTTGCACGGGCAAGTAGCAGCAGAATTGGGGCTAAATATAACCAGTGCCTGGGTGATGGTGGGGCAAAGTGCCATGTCTCCTCACGGCGTGTGGTGGTGTAGTCTGATACAATACCCGTGTGACTGCTGTGTCTATTATCAGTGCGTCAAATATTTGCCAGTGACTGTACTTCGTGTTGAATGCGACCCTGAAGTGAATTGTGCAAAAACGGTTAAGAATACTGACTGTTCAGTTGCGATTTTCGGGGAAGAAGTTTTTAATCCTTTCGCGGGAAAGTTGTCTGTAACTGTGCAAAGCAAACAATGGACCCGAGAGCTGAAGATTGTTTTACTAGCAACACCCGAGGATTACTGGCAAGGAATGAGTGCCGAAGAAACTTTTTTTTGACTTTTAAGAAGGACTGCAAATCGGCCGTAATTTTTCACTTGTCACAAAGACATTTTTTTTCCTGCCAACACACGTATTCGTCCATGTTGCCAACTATAAGCTGTGTCTGGTACTTCATGATTCGTCAGAAGAGCGAGTTTTCAAAACAGGCGTGATAGTGCTCCTGGAAGTTGTATGCGGTAGTCGTTAAACAGGCCTGGCGCTGTTTTACGTCCCGTGCAGCTGTCAAGTCAGAATTCGAGGCACTGATCGATATTAGCCTGGAGGCTCGTTCCGTTATTTCTTTCATGAACGCACTGTTACCTGCCGACGTATTCCGGTGTCCTGTTTCTGACAAGTCATTTGTCCATCCTTACCACGACTCCGATAATTAAAATCTTAAGATATTTTCGTTCCCGGTAAGATAAACTAGATCATTCGTGAGCTTGGTGCGATGTCGTCGAAGGTAAAGGTAGACGTCAGAATCACCATATTTTACAGCGACGGAGTTGTGATAGTTGTGTATATTTGAATTTTACAATTTATGTTATACTCTTTTATTTCATTGTTTTGGAAATTTACAAATCGTGGTCACAGATAACGCTGGATTCTTGAACCGCAGGGAAGTCAAAAGCATTTTGCCGTGACCGTTGCCAGAGACGTGTTTGAATCTGACAGTGTTCAGAGTGCCATACGCCGGATAAATTTAGCTTATCAACCGTCTTTAATTGCCAGTCATGACAGCGACAGTGGCCACTGACCGCTGGGCGATAAGCGTGTGCAAGCCCCCTCCGAACAGCTGACTGATTAATCACAATTCTTGCGTTTGAATTTTACTACGCATTGTACTGTGACAAAGAAGCGTCCTCGATAAAGGAAGTGCCTCTTGTTGGGGGGCGGGGGTGGGGTGGGTGGCAGTTATGCAGCGATTGTGATTCAAATCTTGCCCATTGTTATTACCCACACAATTAGAACAAAAATGAATACTCGTGTCAAAGTGCAGTGAAACGCGTATCAGCAGAGAAGTGGTCGTGTGCCTTCGGACATGTTCGTGATGTCATTTTACAAGCTTCGGCGGAAGGACCGAGCGAGTTTAGATTTTTTTTTTAAATATAAAACTAAGTGTTATTGTTGTTACGGCCAGTTACTTTCATTTGCTTGTGACATTAGTCACGACAGTGAAATATGATATTCTTCTTGAAAATCGCATCGCTTGGGCAGCCGAGGCTGTGTTTGTGTGCGTCAGGTGGCAAATGCGACGATTTCTCAGGTGAGTGAGAGCTGGGTCTTGATACAGCCATGTGCCCGCATTCGGGCGTGGCTGGGGTAAGCGAAGTGTCTGATGCTTGTCCCGGGACATCTGCTTGTAGATCTGGTTTCCTGCTGGATTACTGCGTTGGTGGAAGGAGTCGGACCACAGGTGGCAGTAACCACATATTGTCGTCGTATTCTGTAGCATCTTGTTTTTCAGAGGAAATGACCTACATGCGGTTTTATCCGTTTTTCAGACTCATCTTTGGTACCCTCTACCCAGCGTATGCATCGTACAAAGCGGTTAGGACGAAAAATGTGAAGGAATACGTAAGTAGACTTTTTGATTTTTCCCACCCCGAGAACATAATGACACTTTTTAAACACTGTAAATAGTGTGGGAAGCTTTTCTTGTAAATAAACGTCGTGTTTGAAGCCAAAAAGACGATGAGGAACAACTCCCCTTTGTTATTTTTGATTTCCCGGCTGTTTTCATTTGAATCAACATTTCTGATCTTTACGAAAACATCGTGGAAAGAAATCGCAAATTACAACGCAGAAGTGGCTGTGATGAACCGGATGTTGTTTGGCACGAACCATGTTGTCTTGACTAATTGTATGCAAACAAGACAAAAGTAAACGCTGCCTCCACCATCAGGGCCATGATGATAGAGGCAGCAAGGGACCTGTGAAACGTCGGTAAACTTCTTCCATACTACACGTCGCTGCAACCCAGAGGACGGCCATCTTCGGGCTCACGGCCGTGAAAACCTCAAATCCTGTTTAGGGAATCTCGTGATTTATTACCTGAGGAAAGTTTCAGGTGCTCAATGGACAGACTGTACTGAGGAACAAAGGCTTGCGTTTGCACGAGGGGAAATGGGGGTGGGGGTGGAATTCTGGGCTTTGGTGACAACGCCTTTGTCGTCTGAAAGGGTTTGTGAGGGTCTACAAGATGTGGACAAAGACCAGGCAACTTTATCCGCCGTATCCCGTTATCTTGTAGTAGCAGAACAGAACGTGCGGTTTCAAATGTGACACGTAACCTGCACTTAACAGGCAGATTTGTTCGTCGAAGCGTGTCGACCACTTCCTCGCAAGGCTAAGCTATTTCCTGTCCCCTCAACCGCCTTTTGTGACATTGTCGGGGTGGCAGGAGATTTTTTTTAAGAGAAACAGTGCCACAGAGAGGAATATTTTGACCAACGAGACAGTAGGGTGTTGAGATGGAGAAAATTACGTGTATGGGAGGATAATATTAAAAATAGAGCGTGGATGTGCTCTGGATTGAAACGCCTCAGAATAGGTTTCAATGGCGGGTTATTTTGAACGTGGCGATTAATGTTTGTAGTTCCGTAATGTGTAGTTTTTTTGTTGTTGTTCAAATGAAAATCTGTCGGCTGCTCAGTGATCATATACCACATAGCTGGTTAACGTTTTCATTTAGACTGTGTTAATGTTTTAAAAAATACTGTTCCTTGTAACACCAATTTAAATAGGTTATTTTTTCTGAAAGATCGAAAAATTAAATTATCCGAGTGGGTGCCTGTTGGCTGGAAAAATTAATCATTTCAAACGTAGCAAATTACAAATGTAGTGTAATTCTGAAACAGAAAATTATTAATCTTTTTAGCAATATTCGTTCATCGTTAACCGGAGTCTTCTGTGATTTTTAATTCTGCCCAGTAATACGAATAATTTTCATCCTACTCGATCCGTTGTTCGGTGCGTCTGTACTATGATCGCGTGTAATTACTAGAATTCAATAAAACAGTAAGAGTCAACTTGTAAGACGGTTTTCTGTCTGCTGCCCTTTGGGACCGAATCCAGACTTCGTGTTATAATTAGGCGAAGAACAAGACTCACTATCGAGCAGGGATGTCTGTGTTGGTAGCACTGCTCATATTTAGGCGCACTCGAGACAATAATAGTCCATTTCCTGTAACAGACAACTGACATTGGATCGGTTTCCTGAAAGGCGCGCGGTCATCTGTTCTTGTGGGTGTCTGCAATAGATGATGAAGGTCTTTTAACAGCAATGCTAATTGGAAGTATTTGATTAAAGTACAGAAATTTCTGGCCAATCGGAATTTCAAATAAACCTGTGAGCGGATTTCCCTTTGTATCAGTTATTTTTATGTATATGCGGTTTTAAAATCTTCGTACACACTAGGAAATCCTCATTTGCATAATATATTGTTTAAAGAATGGGCTGGAATTTTTTCTTATAATAAAGAAAAAAAACTTGGCCATAGACCCTCAAATAAATATGCAAAACCCCCGCCCCCCCCACGGCCATAGACCCTCAAATAAATATGCAACCCCCACCCCCATAAATATATGCATTTTCATTGGCATTGAATTATGTATAATGTAAAATTGGAGACTGAATTTCTATGTTTCTGGAAATCTCCAGAATTCGTAGTAATATTTCTATATGTGTGTATAGATTTATTGAAGTCTGGCTTGTTTCCAGGTGAAATGGATGATGTACTGGATAGTATTTGCACTTTTCACGTGCGCAGAAACTTTTACAGATGTGTTCCTCAGCTTTTGGTAAGTTATGGCTTCGCTGTCTGCACGATGAATTCAGCTTCTGCTGGTGTATTTTAACAGATGTCTTCAATAACTATTTTTATGTCTTCTTCAGTAACACACTCTATACCAGACATGTTTATCCAATGCACTGCCCCTAGACACTTTTGGAAACCGGCCAAACCTCTATAGAATACAGCATTCCTTCTCTTCAGTATAGTTCACTCACTCACGAAGGTATCCACAGAGGTGGAATTAATTTATTGTATTAACAAAAGTATAAAATAAAATTCATGAATAAACAAGATGATAAAAAATTTTCTAAATACATTTTTGGGACCCACAGAACTGCTCACCACTGGTCCATGTCCTAAGCCAGGACTGAGAAGACAAAAACTGTTGTCACTTTTGTCTGTGATGGTAAGCCGGTCCAGTTACCCTCCACTTTCGAGAGAGAAAAAATGTGTGGCGAAAGAAGACAATTTTGCTAGTATTTTTCTTAAATTGAATAACAAATAATTTGTCGGAATGGGGGGGTAGGGTGGGGGGAATTAGTGATGTTTGCCGTTTAAACTGATGCCACAGCTACATCTTGTGTTTTTGAGTCTTTATTCTTGTAAATCTTTCAGAAATTAAATCAGCTGTTCAAATTATTTTTTTTTTTACAGGTTTCCATTTTATTACGAGATTAAGATAATCCTGGTGCTGTGGCTTCTTTCTCCAGCTACCAAGGGCTCAAGTATCTTGTACAGGAAGTTCGTTCATCCCATGCTCAGTCGACGTGAACAGGTGAACATGAGTTATAATGTCAGATATTGATTTCATATTGAATAACGTAGGCAGTACCAGTGTTGGTCGGAGTTATCGTCCAAAAAGCCAATAATTCTGACTATTATCATACCATCGTCAGAACCCTACGTGATCCGACCGGTGTTCAACGACCACTGGCATCTATCTACAAGTGCGCATGGCGCAACAACCCATAAGACCAACAATGACACATTTTGGTACCGTTCATGAAGTGGTGCTATGTCACTTCATATTCTGAAGCGTATGGCTGCTGTGATGGTTTTATTTATGGTACACATTTGGCACGTGTGAAGGGCGGGTGTCCTCTTATGGGATGATTTTCGTACCGGTGCTCATGGAAGCTTGTCAGTTGGTTCAATACTTGTAAGACGTGTTGTGGCTGTAAGACTGTTTTTCTGACATAAACTAGGAAAATAAGCTAATAAATTTCACTGTGGAATAATGTAAACAATTAAAATTTTATTTAGTTCCCTGTGTAAGATTCTTTCTGCGCGCTGCCACGTGTTTTCGTCGCGCTTCAGATCTCGTCCTTTGCCGCTAGATTTCACGTTGCGACTTATTCATGTTTGTCATGTTGGCAGGAAATTGATGAGTATATAGCAAAAGCAAAGGAGCAGGGTTACCATACGGTGCTGCATCTGGGTACGAAGGGGGTCAACTATGCGACTACGGTGCTTATGCAGACTGCCATCAAGGTGAGTGAAACTCACGGACATCTCAGTTTTTAGTATCTTTTTTTTTTAAAGTGATCGTACTCTCAGTTACCGGTACAGCCGTTAACACCTTGAGATGACTTGCTGCTCGCGAACAGATCGCTTCATGTGCGGTGTTTTTTGGTATGGCTATCGAATGCTTAATGTATTATGTGCCAGTTTTTGAAGGACCAGGTCAGCGTTAACAGTTTTCTTTCCCATAGACCGCTGTGTCCCAAACAATGTCTCTCTGTACGTACTTTAACAATTGTAAGACGTACAGAGTAATCATGATCATGATCTGCTGTCGTGACACAAACAACCGTATGTTCTATCCGGTTTTTGGACTCTGTCCATCGTCCACTGTTACAAAAAAGTTAAAAATCTGAGCGATCCAAAGTGTATGTTCCATTGCCACGTGCTGATACATTAAGAATTTCTGACAACCGATTTATTAATGTAGCTAGTTTGGTCAGCATGGTTTGATTAGTTGAGTCGGCTTATTCTGTGGTGCTGTATGTGTTGAATGACAGTTTACGATCTCATAAAGTAAGCCAGAAAAGTTGTTGGGAGTTTTTTTGTGGTTCATTAGACCGATTTAACTGTTTTTGTTATATATGGATAAGATATGAAAATAATTGAAGGGAAGTAGAATTTGAGGTTCTCACGGCGGTGAGTCTGAAGATGGCTGTCTTCTGGGTCGTAGCGCCACGTCTGGTAGGAGTTTACCAACGTTTCAGAGGTCCTTGCTGCCTCCATTATCAAAACTTCTACCAGACTACAACTCAGAAGACAATTAAAGGGAATTTCCCTTCCCTACTACAACTCAGAAGACAGCCGTCTTCAACTAAAGAGAATTTCCCTTCCCCGTTCCTCTCGAATGTGTACCGAGATGCATGCAATGACATAATTTCTCTGCTTACTGGTCACGTTCGGAACGGTAGAAGATACGTCCATATCTCTAGGCTGCATATACCAATATGGTCTTAAGTTTTGGCTCTTTTAATAGCATTTAAGTGAATTTATTGTGCTGCTGCTTTCAAATTTTGTTTTCTCTTTTAAACCAGAGTTCATTGTTGGTTTACAAGGTAAGAGTTCAAACTGTGTCATGCTTTTTTATATTATTTTATCTCATCTTATTTATTCTAAAGTTCTCTTATGTGATACATATGGAAATTGATCGTAGTTAGATTCTCGTTAAAGGAGATGGTACATCCTACAGTACGCGCAGATATTAAGAGATTGTCATATGTGTGTAAGGAAGTTTCTTTGAAGCGTCAAGTTATAAATTGGTAAAAACTAAAATTCTGCACACTGTAATTTGTAGCGGTTGGAAAAATTATTGTGTATTGACATTTTCTGTTTGAGTGAAAATGTTTGATGTGCATGTTTCAATTCTTTGTTTTGTCATGTGGTTTATTGTGTTCGGCTTTATAAGTACGGTTTCTTCCAAGTAAATGAAGGGGGCAGTTTTAGAAATTCCGTCATCATTGATTTTATAAGCGACTTAAATGTTGGTTGCAATTCAGTGTATTACATCTTTCTTAAACGAGTAGAAAATAAAACATAAAATTTGACCCCATTGCAACCACCACGAGGTTCTGGTTTTAGGTCTCGGTTTGTACAGGTCACATCTGAAAATTAACCAGTGAGGGTTATTGAATATGCTTCAGTAAGCAAGACCCAACTTCACATTATACCCTCTAAACACCCCTAAATTTGTTCCAGAATTTAAATGTATTCATTACATAAATGCAACAGGTTTGTACCCTCTTCTGTCTGCTTTAAGATCTGATGAGATTCTTTTTTTTACATATTTTAAATTATAGTAAATAACACCTGTTAATTAAATGGTGAGAGCGACATCACACACTAAACACCTTTAATGATGGTAACAGAAATGGTTTGTGTTGTAAGTATAAACAGCCCAGGATCCTCCTGAGTTTATCCGCATGGCCTCTTATCCCCCAGCATACTAAGCTGTTTATAGATTAGCGAAGTGTGGTAACACGTCACCTCTTGTACACCGATGCCTAGTAACACGCACATCTTTGCTTGTAACCTCACATATGTATGCTCAAAATGGTATCAGTAACGTCACCAATACTAAAATACTAGAAATGAAATTTCAGTCCTTTACACCCCTTTCGGAGCTCCTCGGGGGGGGTTGGTTGCGTTTTAAAATCTTGAATCTAAAATCCCAACTTACTTTGTAAGTACAAGGATTAGTCGTCTTAACAAATCGACCTCCTTGGTGAGATTTGAGGCTCTCACAGCAGTGAGTATGAAGATGGCTATTTTCTGAGTTGTGCTGTATAGTCTGGTAGAGGTATACCAACATTTCAGAGGTGATTGCCATGATAATGGAGGTGATAAACTTCTACCAGACTACAAGGCGCTCCAACCCAGAAGACAGTCATTTTAAAAGTGTGTGTTCTTTCAGGTAATGGCTCTGCAGTCCTAATAAATAATGTTATTTTCTGGAAATGAACATTACCCTAACAGATTAGAATAAGAGAAATAAACTAATTTTTAACACGACAGATTTAAATTTAACTTTTCTCCCTTTGTGTGATCCAATAATTGCTCCTCGATAACAATAATGATTATCACTGCCAAAATGTTAAAAAAAATTTAATCATACTCTAATATAAAATAACATAAATTTCTACATTGTTTGTATTGTATAAGATTTGATGCATTCATGGGAACTAAATACAATGAAATCCCTTTGGGTGAACAGCTGTGTAAGTTCCAACATTTTGGAGATGGTTTCCAAAACACTGGAATATTATTCCACACTGGCATGGCTGCCTGCTCAAGATGATTTAATTGGTTGCTTCACACACTAATTTTCATTTTGTTGTGTGTGAAGGAGTATTACTTTATTGGTGAGAATCGCCATGAAACATCTTGAGTATTGTCCTTGGTTGCACTGTAAACTACTGAAAGATATTCATTACATTTGTTGCATTCTTGTTTGTGTTTTTATTTTTGAAAGCATCGTGACAGTAATCATTTTTCCTGTGTTTCACTGTTGTTAAACAAGGTTATAGAGTAATTTCTTGAAAGTATGAATATTGTTTTCCATATTTTGTTCTGCCTGGTTTGGTTGCTTGTTTGCTTTTGCTTGTTTTGCCTGTACCAAATAACTGATTGAGCTTGTTTAATTCTCTCCTTCCTGCCTGGCTCTCTCCTCGGACCCAGAACATCAGCTTGTCGGCCATATCGTCACATAGCCTCCTTCCTTCGGCACCCCCTAGCCAGTCAGAAATATCAGTGGCCTCCAAGTCACGCTCCCGCACGACATCTGCACCTTCTGAAGAGGGCTTGATTGGGGGCAGCACTGCAGACGGTGCATCCAAGCGACGTTCCAGATCTTTGTGTGAAGCAGATGGCAGAGAGATTTCTGATGAACTTGCCGCTTCTGTATTATCAGATGATTCCACCTATGATTCACCTGACCACACGCCCCTTGAAAAACGCACGGTAAATTCAGCCCCGTCCAATCCCGAATGCAGTCGCACCACGCGGAGTAGGAATGCAAAGAAGTCTACCAAAGCTACCAAAAAGATCTCATAAAGTCTATCCAGTGTTGAAGATTCAGTCCCATAACCTGTTGCTAGGTAGAATGTTTTGTTGGGTAAATAGCTCAAAATGAAAAGACTGACTTGTACAAAGACATGTATTTTGAAATGAACCGAGAGAAATTGCTGTGGAATGGTATGTGGATAGTGTGCTGGCATGAGTAATTTATGTTATTTTTAATGTTGTGGCAATTTGTGATTGTTTTGTTTTTTTGATATTCAGCTGTAGATCAGAGACTTACTAATATGTTTAAATATTTACGTTAAATGCCCCGTGTCCATTTGATACAACAGATCAAACGAGAAGCCATTACATGTGCCATATGCAGTTCTTTAAAATTATCTGATAGAAGTTGGAAACTATTTTAGTTGCAAATGCTCATATTTTACAGATGTGGTACGGAGGTCAGTAGCAAATTGTTTTAATGATTTGAAAGATGTTTTACACATTGGAAATCCTTTTTTCATGTGTTCCGTTACATTATACATTCGCTTGCCTTGGAATCGATTTCCTTTACTGACGGATTACGATGAAGGCGTTTAAAAATTGTTTGTGCTAATTTTAAGAAGTCTGTAGTTTCGGTTTATTTTTTTTATAATGAATGTGTGCTGTGAAATTGGTGTGTAAATAAAATTTCAGTAGACTTTAACATGCTGTTTTTTTATAATGCTTTCTTACAGATTTATATGTTTTTGAAATGTTTCACAATTCACAGGTCTCTTGCAACTACTCTACAATTTGAATATCATGGTATATTTGATCTTAAAAGTTCCTATTCTGCAAATGTTACTTTTAGTATTTCTGCATCTGACATTAAAGTTTGCCATTCAAGTATTTATCTTCGTGTCAAACTAAATGGTCCATGTTCTGTCTACAGTCACGTGGCTGCATAAAAATTTCAAGATCATAGGTTAAATGGGTGTTGGAATAGACTTACTTGTGTGGAAAATGCAAGAGATTTCTGGAACTGAACATACGTCATAATATATCCACAAGGGCTTATACGCACAAATGGAAACCTCCTCTTGAATTTATCTTTAGCATGTCAGTGAGATTTTTAATTTAAATTATTCAGCAGATGCAGCTGCATTGTAGGTTCCTCAGTTTAAAAATCAAAAGTAAATGTTAAACTAACTTAATACGTACTTCACAAGAAACACAATTAACAGTGCCTCAATATTACTGCTGTTGGAGTCAGCCAAATAAAATAATATGATTTTCTCCATTTCTGTCCATGTTTGACAGAATGAGACAGATACAGCGTGCACATTTAATTCTATTTTGTCCGTGCTGTTATTTTTTTGCTCTGTATACTGACATGTATGGCAGAATGCTAATTCAGTTATACACAGAGTCAATGTGATCACGGCCTACACAATATTCACCCACTGCCAGCCATCACCACCTCATATTAGAAAGTAAATATAATCCTATTCTGTGGGCCCTCCCACATCAGAAGTGGTTTGTTTCATTTACATCTGTCGGATGCATAGAACAAACGATCATAAGTATGCCATTTAAAAATAATCTCAATTCATCTGAGTATTCTTGCAAAACTGAATATTGTGTGATAAAGTTGATTTTAAGCATGTTTCGTTCATTACTCATGAATTTTCATCTTGTAGAATTGGATGTGCAAATCAGTCATTTCTACATCCGTCAGGGTGCTGTTCATTCCAGCCTCATGAAACTGTGGGCAAAATGGAAAGGATGGTATTTTGAAATCCCCCCTTTGGTAGATAAAGCAGTATAATCTGCTGTGTACTCCTGTTGAAAATGGCATCCTTCCAACTGGTCAGTGTGTAGTTTATAATAACTACCACAGGTACAGGCAATGGGAAAGTATAAATTTCCTAAAAACATCATCCAGTTCATACTGAGGGAAACGGTGACCGTGGCTAGTTATTGATGTACTGATTATTCATGAAGATGGCTGTCTTCTTGGTCGTAGCACCATGTAGTCTGGTAGACTTGACACTACAACCCAGAAGACAACCATCTTCGTACTCATTGCCGTGAGAATCTCAAATCAGACTTCATAAATCAACCCAGAAGACAACCATCTTCGTACTCGTTGCCACGAAAATCTCAAATCAGACTTCATAAATCGAACTACACTTACATCTAAACTAACTTGCATTTTGATGGTCTCATTTCCTCTAAATCAGGTATAAAGATATTTTGTCATGACTGAGTTTCATGAATGAAGTTGCATGCATTTCCTCCACTAAAATTTAATGGTTATAATGTCATGACTCGGTTGCAAAAGCCTTGGTTGTGAGAAAGAGAAGCATCATATGAGGTTATAAGATATGTATCCTACCCCAAACACCCGACAGAAGATGTAACAAAGGCAAAAGAAGATATGGACAGCTGGACAGTTTTAGTCCAACTCCAGGAAGTGGAAGGAAGTTGAGAGCATCAGTGTGCTATGGTACCATGCGAAGGAAGTATCACCTCTGTAACAAGGTTACTGTGGAGATGATAATGTGTACAGTAATGGAGTGGTTTCCTGTTGCCTTCTCCATCGCAGTATCACAACCTGTACAATCAGTGTGTGATTGTCGCCTGTGAATATCTGGTGACGGGCCTTTAGGGAAGTCATTCTTCAATAGCCTCGCCCCAATAATGACATAGCTGCTGCCCTATGCCATCTACCATGACCCTGGTAGAGGGACCCTTGCAGGTTGCTACACCTCGGGTCAAGGGGAACCCGGAGTTCGCGTAGGCAGGGGCACTCACTTCCCCGAAGTAGGATTATCTCTGAAGAGAGTTCCTACCAGCTACCAGAATGCTCCATATACTGCATTATATTAGCCCTTCAAAAATGAAGCTCATTAAAGTAATATTGAAACCATTCAGTTCCTACCTCAAAGAAAATGCAACATGTCTGTCACAAAGATCAACCAGTTAGTGCTGTTTAAGAAAATAATCACTGTTTATTATGACAATTATATGAAACGTATAAAAACATACTGTGTGCAAAATACGGTTACTGATTGTTAATGCAGGAGGTATATGTAGTTACCACTGGTTTAAAGGATTAATTATGTGCGAAGCTATAATTTCTTATATGTAGTAGAGTTACATCAAGGAGAATAAGAAATGTGGGGCATGAGATAGTTTAGAAATGCACACAAATTTGGTTGGAAAACCTGAAGGGAAGAGACCATACAGAAGACCAAGTATACATGGAGGGACAATACCAAAGTCAAAATTAAATAGGATGGTGGGGTATGGACTGGATTCATGTGGCTTCGGATAGGAAGCGGGGCTCCTGTGAATATAGCGCTGAATCTTTGGGGTTCCATAAAAGGTGTACAGTTGACTAGCTGAGCAACTATTAACTTCTCAAGAACTCCACTCCATGGAGACAGTTATATGTAACAGAGAGTCATGTATTATAATTGTGAAAACATTGTTTTAAGAGGAAGATATGTGCAGTAGCACTGTTTTCCTCTAGTGCCTCACTGGTTTAGAAGATTTTATTCTGTGGTGTAAGTACCAAGACATAAGTATGATCTAATTTTTACATGATTGTCACAATTTACTTTTTCAATATTGTCTTCCTTACAGGGGGGTGGAGGTCTGGTCAATCAACTTCGGAGGAGTTACAGTCTCAGTGACCTCTCGTCGGACAAGGAGTCCGACATGAACCGTAACAGCAAGGCTCTAAAGAATGTACCAGATGAAGACGACATGGAGGAAACAGATGGCTTAGGTGTGTAAGATCATTTAGTTGAATATAGAGTAAACAAACCAACAACTATTAACACTATTATAGACGCTATTGCCATAATAGTGTCTATTATAGTGTTAATAGTTGTTGGTTTGTTTACTGTATATTCTAATACACTACACGGTATGCAAAGTTTTAAGATCATTTAGTTGAGCTGATGGACTGTCTTTTATATACCTTACTTCATGATAAACAAGGCAGTGATTAATATACAGGTGTTTCAATTTCAGGAATATTATCTCACATTAACAATTGTAACACTTTTAATCAAGACACATTTACATGTATTTTTGAAGTCTTGGTTATGTTTCAATTATCCTGAAGCAAGAAGAAACACAAAATAATGTGCTTGAGAGGATTGACAGTGGTGGAACATATGTGGCTCACATTCAGGAAGCGTCTGGTTTAAATTCTCGCCATGGAGCAGTTATCCCAGGTTCTGAGTCATATACTACGATAGAATCTTAAGGCAGGCCACGACCACTTCTTCCCTTATCTTTCCCAGCTAATAATCATTTACCACTGTCCTGCCATATTTAGGTCAATGGAGCATAAAGATAACCAAATAAATTTATTTATTTATGTCAAATGGCAGGTACATATTTCATGTTTGACCCATATATTGCCAAGCTTGTAGACCACTTTGCCGTCAGAGACAATAAATACGTAATGTCAAATGACACATGCTACAGTTGCCTGCTGAGTAGTCTTGTGATATTTCAGAATATTTAAAATGTGACTATTGTGCCTGATTTGCAAACTACAGAAATATTGCTGTAAAAATAATCACATATCATTCTACACTAAGTCACTTTTCTTCGTACAATTATTATTTTGAAGATCCCAGAATGTTGAGGCAAAGAGGTTACAGTCCCCGTCGCTCAGCGTCTGGTTCAGGCCGGATGGAGATGTACTTCCCAGAAGTAGATGTGGATGTCCGGCAGCATGGAAGCTCTCGACCAAGGGAACCCAGCATTCCACTCAGGTAAAAATGAGCTTCATTTCTTCCGTGTACAATTCAAACAATCAAGTGAGTTACCTCTGAGTATAGATGTATCACAGATTTGGTCAGGAACAGATGTATGGAGCATTCATTGCAGTTACCTTTATTTATTTGCCACATATATATGTCTCTCATATGAATGTGTCATGATAATTTCACAAACTGTCCTCTTGGTATGTTTGTCTCAAATGTACTGGATAGGATAAGGAAAGCCCATCTTTTCCAAGTCTCATGGAATAAACCACAGACTTTTCTGGCTTTACTTGTCTGTATGTTCCTCAGGTAGTGAAAATATCTCCTCAATCAAGGGAATTTAAGGTTAAGGCTCAACTCACTCCATTGAACCTGGGTGGGCTGGGGTCTAGTCAGTAGCATACTAGCCTAGTATTTGAAAGGTCCTTGAGTTTGACCCAAAGTGATAAAGCAACGAGGCATTGATGAAGTGCTGTTAAATAAACCAAGGGACAGCTGCAACGCTGAAGCATATGAAGAGAGGCATTATGACACCAGCAAAGAGTTCGGTCTTCATGGAAACTGTGTTTTCAGCCATATCCGATCGTCAGAGGACGTAAGTTCTGGCTATTCTAGTGCAGAGCCTCTGTATGCTGGACATCACGTGACTCAATCTGAAGGACTTGCATCAAGCAGGGAACCTCTGGTGAGGACAGCCTCTGTGGGATGTACACGATCTATGAGAACTAAGAGCTTACGTGGAGGATCTGCTGCCAAGAGGGGACCTGTTGCTGAGGTAAGAGCTTTTTATTCATCAGAAATACAGTGTCGCCTCCCCACACAATTATTTATCATGCAGCAATTTTAGTAAGCACATTGGCAACAGGAATAACATAATGTAATAAATGATGAATTAAGACTTCTGGAATACCTTACTCTTCTTCAGATTGACATTTTTAATAATTTTTTTATTCACACTGTGTTTTGGTGAAGCTACAGAGGTATAAAGATCCGTTCCATGACATTATCTTATGAAAATTAGTTTAGTGTTAAGTTTCTGTTTATGTACAGTTCAGTACTTTGCTACAGGCAAGTAAATAGTTTATAAAATTTGAGACGTAAAAATATCCATGTCAAATGTATTGGAGGTGCTAGCACAGCAGTAACAATGTTTCGTTTTTTTTTCTCCTTTCTGTGTTTTTGTTTGAAGGACAGTGAACTATTGGACCCACTAGGTGGTGAAGCAGACCACTGCTATCAAGAGGAGTATTTCTATGACGTATCTTCTTCCTTGTCCTCTCATGCTCCAACACTCATTCCATTTACCATGACAGCCACCGTAAAAAGATCAAACACACCTCTGTCTTCTCTTCCAGAGATTTCATATCCCTCAAATCGAAGTCAAGATCCTTTTCCATCTGAATTGAATGAAATAATGTCAGCTGAAGAACGCTGCATTGACATTTCTGATGCCAAACAAGATTCACCTGATGATGAAGAAGATATGCCCCTATATGATGCAGAATCAGATGAATCTAAAATTCCTAGTAATGGATACTTCCTCACTGAACCTTTAATGAAGGATGACGACCTCGTCTCTGCATCAGTTAGTGACACATCTTTATTCAAGGACGTAACTATGTCATATGCAGACACGACTGCAAATGGTATAATACATGACAGAGCTGATTCATCTTCAGGCTTAGTTCTCTCTAATGAACCACTTACGTCACACTTAAACACAACCAATAACATAGTACCAAATACTAAGCCTGGAAACGTGATTTATGATAAGGCGGGTATTGATTTTGAATCTTCCCAAGAAGCAAACGTCCAGAATTTGGACACTGTCAATGATCCACTGAAACATGTTGAACTTTCTAGTTTGGCACAACTAACAAACACGATTCCAGAAGTTCAAGAGGCTTCAGGTACATCAGCAGTTTCAGATGTTGTTATAAGTGAATCAAAGGGGAAAGATGAGTCTTCAGTTTCAGAACTGAAGGAGACTGGTACTGTGACAGATGAAACACTATCTGTAGTGACTGTACCGCCTCTCACACTTCTTTCTGCAGAATCACTCTCCCTGTACAGTGCAATGGACATCTCTTTTGAATCAAAAAATTCTAAATATGACACTGGAGCTGAGCACTCGAATAATCGTGTTGTTAATAACTCTGATTCAAATTCCAGACATGTGGACACAGACAAACCAACAGCTCGAAACTTTCAAAGTGTTGAACTTGAACGTGACTCTCCAAAATTAGATATAACCTCAATAACATCTGTTGCTATAGATGGATTTGGTCAAACTTTACAAGACCATGATGTAAAGTCTCTTCAAGACCACAGAATTTCTGTGTATGCATCTGTTGAATCTCTGTCCCCACCAGAGCCACCTAGCAGATCCAGTTCACAGGGAAGTTTAAAGAAAGAAGGTAGAGCTGGACGTTACCACAAACGGCCTGCGCCAACACCTCCTCCAAATAACCCTGAATTAAAGAATGAAGACTGGGCTGAAGACCAAAATGAAAATAGCCAGGCTTCAGTCTGGCCTAAAGAACTGGATGAGGACATGCCATCAGCAAAGGATTCAGAGTCGGCTGTCACGGCTCGTCTTGTGTTGAAGCCGGGGGTCGTCAGGTCGTTGGGACCTGATTCTGAAACTAAGGCAGAAGTCTTTGTTTCAAGAACCCCACAAGCAAAACACAAGAAGTCAAAGTCAAAACAGGGAGATTCAGCACTCTCCCGGTTATTTGTACTTCCAAAGAACCAGTTTGGAGGTTTATCATCATTTTTTCCTTTCTGGCATGGGAAGCAGGAGGCTTTTACTTCAGCTGACGCCCAAAATGGGACACCTGAGAGTTCAGACTTCTATAGTTCATCTGGATTACGGAGCAGCAGAAGTTCGGCCTTCATAGCAGTTCATGGAAATACTCTGAATGACTCAGAAAAGGACACGTCTAGAAGTAGTAGTGATGTTAATGTGAAAGAACTGTCCTGTTCCCCTGGGCAGCAACGCCGAGCACCTCTGGCTGATTGGGAATGACTCAATAAGGTCCTACAAAAATCTTACTCATTGAAAAACAAAAATACAGTAGACATCGGTGATATCACAGAGGCATGAGTAGCGAGACATGTTCTTCAGATATCTGTCTACAGATACACATGCATGTATCTGACACCTTCTGCTGTTTTCATCCCATGACTAAATTGACTAAACCCACAGCACTTCCTTCTTTCATCTGTACTTCCATAATCTCTGGAATCTGGATGTCGAACTTCATTCATGGATGCTGAATTGGCCAAGAAATTTCTTGCAGGGATGTATTAGACTGTGCTGTGCCCCAGGCTTAGGGTGTAAAGTGTGTGTGTACTTGTACAAACATAACCCAATTTATTTACAGTAATAACCACCATAGAAGTCATCAGAATACAAGCATTCTGTATCCCTGTAACAGTAACTATGATGTAGATAAATTCCTCTGTAACACTAGAGCTTTGCACCACTGGTATCCAGACATTTTGTTGAGCATGGTTTTGTTGGTCAAATCAGCAATTCCTTACATACTAGAATAACAGTCTGAACTACTGATTTTCCTGCTTTGTATTAATTTACGACATTTTAGTCTGACTAAATGATTTGTATGTGGAACCCTTAATCCTTAATTTTTACTGTACATCTGCATCTAATGTAGGAGCCATGTTTCTATCCAGCATCAAAGAAAACTATTTACTTTTGAAAAAGAATTTATGAATAGACTTTCACCCAATATCTGGTAAAATTATTGTTGTTATAAATAATTTGAAATCAAGGGAAACGGATGCTGTATTATATAATTTTTACATTATATGAATGGGGAGCTTCTTTTGTCATAGGTACAAAATAAAATTGGTTTATAATGTGATATACACCAAAGAGTTACATCTTTAGGTAAAGAAAGAGAATGTTTTAATGAAATTATAACCTTCATTTATTTAAATATGGAAACAAATTATTTTTATATGCTCAAATATAAGGCATACCATTAAGTTTCATATGTAGGTAATGAAGAAAATGGTTTTCAAAAAGAAAATTTTTAAATCTTTCAGGTCACAAGTTATGCAACTATTCCAAGAAGTAAGAAGCCCAACAAGAAGAAGATGCAGTGAAGCTTTTCATGTATGAACTTACAGGCATTACAATGAAGTTGGCCTTCTGGCAAAAAATGGAATGACAGTGCAAAGAACATCATACAGCGAACCAAGTTGCAGCAACTACTTGCTTGTTTGCGCCATGAAACATCGCATCATAGAGCAGGGACATCACGTTTGGCCAATTTATTTGCTTTCATAGAAAAACGAAGCAATTAAAGTTTGACAAGAACAAAATATATGCTACGTATTTAGCTGCTTTCTGTCTCAGAGGTGTGCACTGTTGTATTGGCCAAATTAGTGAGGTCCACATAATGATCTCTGACAATTTATTACAAATATTCATACACTCGTATATAAAGGAGAACAAAGCACTGGCTCTTCCTTAGAGGGCTGTACCAGGAGTCTATTGTGATCCTGCGTGTATCTCGTTGACGTTTTCAGAAAGCCAAGCTAACCTGATACCTTCCGTCATGCAGTAACACAGTTGCTCACGACTTCATTTGTTGATGGGGCTTCTGTTACCCCTGCTAACTGTCTATCAAATTATTGTTGGTATCAAAGTATGACTGTTGGAAAG